GAAAAATTAGGCCGCAGTATCCTCTTCCTCATCGGCCGGGGGTGACCCTCCCGACAGGAGCGCTACGGCCGCGGTGGTCCTCTGGGCCGATGTCAGCAAGGCCGTCACCACTGCCTCCACCGCCTTTTCGGGGGCACGGAGCTTCGTCCTGAACAAAGACGACCGCACCACCACAGCCAGAAAAATATGTTTTGAGTAACAAGATAAAGGGTTGGGTTTATTCACCCCATGCGCATGTCTATATCAAGCAAATAAACAGTAGGGAGGCATTGGGCTGCACGTTGTGTGCATTTGTTTGCGTGGGTTTGGTATCATGGAGATGCGGGCAACACTTTTCACTATCCGCCCCCACTTTTTTCTCAGTGGGGGGTAGGCATGTTGGAGCTTCGTCAGGAAGAAAAAACGAAAAACGGAAGGACTTGGCACAACGCAAACAGTCAACATCAAACGTAGAGGGTAATGAGCTGGCCGCAACATGGGTAAAACGAAGAACACGTTTTCACCTTTCCGGATCGTTCTTGATGATGCCGCAAACAACCCTACTACATACCGCGTCTACCTCTTTCTGACCAGGGCGAACGGGGGGGCGGGGGGCTATGGGAACGTTCGCCTTGCGCAATCAAAACAGCTGGACGCCCTAAAAATCGAGCTAATTGCACGGATACAATAATCAAGCAAAAGTGCCGTTCGGGTTGGACAGCTGCCCGTACAGAGCGGGAAAATCGGTCAAACACATGTTGCTCCATAGGGGGGACACGACAAAGCAGCACACACCGCGAACAAGAGCGAACGGAGCTTACATCTGCCGAGGGTTGCGTCTGCCAAGGGTTGTGTAAATTGGATGTTATCCTCACCGCAGGATGCCGGTGTCGACCCAAAACTCAGGGCTGGGCCGCGAGCGCCGACAAGCGTCCACCTTGACAGGGATTAGGTCAACCTGAAAACGGCAACAACAACAAAAACAAAAAACACACATTTTGACGTTGGGATCTCGCGAAACATGTGGTATGCGTAAGTGTTCCGGCCTAAACAAGACCCGCTGCCCCGGTTTAAGCCTGCGGATATCGCTTGACGGCACAGATGGATGACCCAAGTTGGCTCCGCTCGGAAAAGTGCCGGCTGTCCGTCTCTAGGGAGGCCACATCCCTTGAACCTATGCCGTATTACACCGGAACCAATCTGCGTACTCCGTATATGCCTTATCATACCCGCGGTGGCGCGAGGATACGACAGTAAGAGAACAACCAGAGACCGCGAGGGCAATGAGTGAGAGCTCAAAAGCTGCAGGTGCAAGTTTCAAACGGATTGAGTCATTCTCCGCGGTTTGCACACTTGCGTAACAAGTGGGAAAGGTCACAATTTCTCGCCCTGAAACGGCGAGCTCTTCTTAAAACACCGGCGATACACTTCCCAAAGCTGCCGACAAACTCTCAAGTTGCCTGGCCCTGCCGCTCTCTTCCGAATACAACCAAGGCACCCATACTCACGTCGCCAAACAGCGAAGCCAAAGATCAGACCTACCTATCACAAGTGCCCAGGAATCAACGACAAACCACACCCACAAAACATTCCCATTACCGAAGCTAACGATCGCACCAACACATCGCGAGCGCCCATCAAAGAGCGATAAACGCACAACCACCACCGAACGAAGCCCACGATCGCACCAACCGACCACAGACTCAGCGACAACCTACTCCCACCCCCACACCGCCGCAAGCGGCACCAGCGACTGACTGCACCAACCTATCTCAAGCGAAAGGATCAGCGACATCCCATAAACACTCCCATTCCCCTACCGACACCGCCAGCGACTGCACAAAACCCTCACCTCAAGGTCGATGCTGTCGGCGGCCGCAGCGCCGCCCTTCATGTCCGCCGCCGCCTTGGTCTCCCCGAGGGCCTCCAGCGCCACCTTGCCGGCTTCCAAAAGGTCCTCCGCGCGGGAAGACACCTGGACGATCACCTCCGAGACGTGCACGCGGACCTCGAAGTCCCCCGGGAGGATGCCGGCCACCACGCGGTATAACTCCTTCGAGTCCACCTCTCCGGAGGTCGACGACGACCTGACGGGGGGTTTCGTAGAGAGTGAAAAAATCGCATGTTTTTTCGAAGTAGAGAGTGAGAAAAACGTCCTAGACGGAACATAAAATCGACAACATGATGGGCTTCGAAGTGTAGCCAGTGAAAGAACGTTCAAAAACGAATGATGAAATCGACGAACTGGTGAGGGTTTCATAGTGGAAGAAAAGTTCAAGACGAATGAAAAATACAACCGATGAACTGATGGGTTTCGTTGCAGAGAGAGGGGGAAAGCGTTGAAGACAAACAAATACAACAAGAGAGACGCCAGATCGTCGTACTCGTGCGGTTGAACTCAGCCACTGACAATCGCGATTTCGTTCACACAGCAGTCCCGTACAGAATGAGTTAAAAAAATGGTAATCACACAACGTTAAGGGGTTGCGTGGAAGAGCGAGTGAAAAAATGTTGAAGGCGAATTAAAAATACAATCGCCAGACAGATGTCGTGCTTGCGCTGTTGAATTTACTCAGCAATTGCCAGTCGCAATGTTCGTTCCAAGAGTGCCAGGTGTCCAGAGTGAGAGTAAATAATATTCGGCTATGACATGATGCAGATAAAACTGGTGTTTTTTTATGCATGAGCAAAAAAATATCGATAGCAATGAACTAAGCAAGGGCAGAGCAGGATAAACACCTCGTGTGTTCCGGAGAAAGACAAGAATTCAACGGATGATTGCCTGTCGTGTACCGTCCAGCCTACGGCACTTGAGAGACTTCCGCATATAACGACAACACATGTTCGCATCGAATGATCGCCATGACTCCCCACATGCAGACGAAGAGCGATGCGAAAAAAAATGCAAAAAACATGACATCTAAACATGATTGGGACGATAAATACAAGCCCATGCGAAAAGAATGCCCAAGCATGGCATCAGAACATGGTGGGGGTGTACGGTAGGACAAATTCGAACGCGTGCCTGGTGACCATCTGTCCCCACGCCACAACATTCGTGAAGAACGAGGACTGGCGAACACTAGACAAGCCCACAAACATCCACACACGTGACCAACGCCGCCAAACGAACGCCAAACCACAAAAAAAAAAAAGGAAACACAAGACACACGCAGCAAGGCTTCAGAGGCATTTAGATTTTTTTAACCGAACTGACACTGACGACTTTTCTTTGGTCAGCCGGTGAGCGCGGTCGATCCAAATCTACATCAGAAAGGCACACAGACGCAAAAGACGAAGCATGCCAAACAACAAAAACGCGTGGAAGTTCCCGGAGGAGCGAGAGGCAAACACAAAAAGCGAAACATCGATGTGCATGTCTGGGTGTAGTCGTCGGATCTATTTTGGCGCCGGTTTCTAATAGGCCGTTCGGCGTAACTACCTGACGTGTCAGCCGGGGTCACAAGAGGAAGGTCACACAATGTCGTTGCCGCCCACCTTGATGTACCCACAAACAAAACATTAACACCCTCAACACACAAACACCACAACGGCACCCACACCGTGCACACCTTGTGGCTCCCCTGGCCATGGAAAGGGCGCGGACGGCAGCGCTGGGACCCTTCCTCTTCTTGGGCCTGAACATGACGGATCGCTTTCCCAGCAACGCCCGGTGCACCGATCCCAAGACCACGCGGAGCTGCCGGGCAGCGGAATCGCTGTCGCCGCCGCTGGCGGAAGCCCGGGGATGTTGAGGAGTCATACCCGCGTTCGTCTTCTTCTCATTGATGACGATGTCGCGCGCGGCCGCGTTGAAGATCGCGAGGACTTGGGGAGGGATCTGCGCGGTGTTGTTGAAGTAGAGGGGTATGCGGGGTATGAATGCCACCGCATAATCTTAACATTTCCATCCTTTGTTGCCTTCCTCACCTAAAAAATGAGCCGCGAGGAACTTACACGTAGAACTGTAACGGTGGCAGCGCCTCCTGCATGCTGACTACCAGCGACCACAAAAGCGCAAAAAAAGCGAAGCCACCATGACTTCGCTCACCCACCAACCAGATATATCGACGTTGTTTGCCGTTGTCCATTTGGGTGGATGATGCTTCGTCGAAATGCCATTTTTCCTGCAATGCACCGTTTCCCAAAAAAAGAAAACAACAACGAAAAAAAAAAAAACGCACCTTTCCCGTAACGCATCCGACCACAACGTGCGCCCGCAGCTGGGCCATGGCCGCCGCAGAGCTGCTGAACAGCCCGCATGCGGCACGGTTTGGGTCGTGCACCACCCTCACCACGAGGAAACACCTGGGTTCATCCGTGATATTCAAGCAAACAAAAAGACACAAAATATGGTGGGAGTCACAACAGGGACGGAAAAGACGATGGCGTTTTTTTTTTTTTTTCTGCGTCAGTGATTGCAGCACGAGAACGGCAGGGAACACACCTGTAGACACGATACACACGTTAGTGCACTCAAAACAAAATACGTGTGTGTGTGGCACAGCTCGCGCACAGAACCTAGTGCCAACAACATGTGGGTGACGTGTGAACCCAATCGCACAGAAAACAACCGCCGTTGATAAAACGCAGACGAAGGAACGCATACCTCATACAATTGTATAGCTCCTTGAGATCAAGAATGGCACCCACTCACGCTCTCACTCTTGCCCCCCCAACAAGGCCACTGAAAAACCAAGTATCTCAGAGAGAAGACACCTCTTTCCTTCTCAAAAGCTTGAAAAACGACACGACTCACAATGCAATGGTATGTACATTCCATCCAAAAATGGACATGAGAAAA